GAATGGAGAAGGTAAAGGAGCTCTGTAAAGCGCCCGACATGGTGCCGCCTCCTCCACCTGGGCACAGAGGTCACTCAGCTTGATGGAAAAATTTCCTACTAAGAAACATCCCCACATCTTGGTCCTGCCCTGGATTGTGTGGCATAGGGCAAGTCCCTTCTCCTCTCTGGCACAGTGTCCCCTACTGGGAAATAAAATGTCTACATGGGAGATGACTGTGCAGGCCCCATTTACTCTCTAGAGCCAGCCCTCTGCTTTGGTGCCATGCGATCTGGAAAGGAAGTTAACTCCCCTGCTGTTTCCAGGCCGCACTTTTAAAATTTTTAAATTTCCAGTTTTAAAATTTTGTTTTACTAAAAAGGGAACTGTTCATTTTGTCTCTTCTATTAATTATGTTTCTGTTTATAAAGCAGAGATAGGTGCTTACTTTCCTCTGTGTACGCAGAAAAGAAAGTCACAGAAAATGCTGAGAAAGCCAAACAGCCCTGTTATAGGAGGCAGCCAGTCAAGCACGAGCAGAGCAGGAGAGGGCTCGCGACATACACACACACACACACCAGAAATGTCAGGTGACCATCAGGTGATGGTCAGGCAGTTGTTAACCGTTTCTCTAAAATAATAATTGGTAGCAGCCTGCATCAGGAAAAAGCAGCCTCCCAGCAGATAGAAAAAACTCGAAATTGGTGATCAGCAGCTTCCCAACAAGCTCTCAGGAATTGGGCGAGTGGGCGCAAGCATGCGCACTAAGGGGCAAAATGGCGGAGTGTAACTGGTAGATGACCTTCTTCTAGGAATGCTAGATTGGCAAGGCAAGAACGCCTTAAGTGAGCATGCGTACAACTCCAGTCGTTTCTTACATAATTCTAATGTACTGTGCTATGACAGCATCAAATATGACTGACTCTGAATGGGTGGGTCCCAGGGGGCTTCAGAGAAGACAGCAATATGAGCTTGAAGGACAGAACTTACAAGAGGAAACTCGGCAAGGGTGAGGCATTAAAGTAGAGGAACCAAGGGCGGGAGTACAAATCTAGGGTATTCTCGAGTGACCTGAATGTTTTCTCCCTGAAGAAACCTTACCTGGCCTAGCTGAGTTCCAGTCCATATGCCAACAAAAGAGAGCAATTAGGAACATGGGCGTCAGACTGAGACCCCATTCTGCCACTTGGAGGAGAACATGGGCCCTAGAGCCAGTCTCTGAGGTCAAGTCCTGGCTCGACCACTTCCTAGCTGTAGGACCCTGGGCAGGTTTACCTAACCTCTCTGTGCCCCAGGTTTCTTTTCTGTAAAATGGAAAGAACAATGGTGTTGACCTCATAGGTGGTGGTAAAGAATGAATGAAGGCTGGGCGCGGTGGCTCACACCTATAATCCCAACACTTTGGGAGGCCGAGGTGGGCAGATCACCCGAGATCAGGAGTTCGAGACCAGCCTGGCCAACATGGTGAAACCCTGTCTCTACTAAAAAATAAAAAAAAATTAGCCAGGTGTAATGGTGCACACCTGTAATCCCAGCTACTTGGGAGGCTGAGGCAGGAGAATCACTTGAACCTGGGAAGCGGAGGTTGCAGTGGGCCCAGATTGCGCCATTGCACTCCAGCCCAGGTGACAGAGTGAGACTCCGTTTAAAAAAAAAAAAAAAAAGAGTGAATACTGGGATAAAGGGCACCACACCTGGCGCGCAGGAATCTTTCAGTACACCATGGCCACTGCTACGCTTCTGCATAACCTTACCTCCTCTCATTTCTCTCTTCAGTAGATTTGGGGTTTGGAGAGTTAAAGAGACAGGAAATTCCCTAACATAGTGCTGGCCCATAGGACATTCTGGGAGCTGAACCATACAGTCTTCCGATGCCCAATCAGCAAAGGCTAACGCTGGCTGGCTAGGGGAAGGGACTCTATCTGAAAACCCTGACCAACTCAGACCTCAGGTCACCAGGGAGAAGTTGAGGTGACAAAGAAAGTATGTAGGTCAATCCCGCTGCCTAGGGCGTGTGCAGATAGAGGAGGGACCAACATTCAGAGAACCCCCTGGCAGCAGCCTCCCCTTAAAAATCCTCAGGGACCTTGGCGAAGAAAGAGAGCCAAGAATATTCCTACACAGAGCTAGGACCGAGGGCCTCTTGAACTCCTCAGAGAGCAGGCCTGTCTCTGGGCATCTCCATGAATTGGGCCCAAAATTGCCCTGTTAGTACAAGTCACTTCCAGTCCCTCACGGCCCACCCAACACTCAGCTTCAGCTGACATTTACATCGTGCTCACTATGTGCCGGCGCTGTAGAAGAATTTCATGTGTGCTGTCTCATGCAGTCCTGTGACAAGCCAATGAGAGCTTGATGGGCGGGGAAACAGGGGCAGAGAGAGGCCAGGGAACTTGGACAAGGCCCCAGAGCCAGCATGTGACACACAGAGTAGGACCCAGGCAGATGGTCAGGGCCGGTGCTCAAAACTGTCCCTCTACACTGCCTCTCACCTGGCCCACCAGGCTCTCCAGGGCCTGGAGCCCCCAGGCTGCTGGCCACTTCCTCTAGGCAGAAGTGACCTTCCCTCTCCCGGTACACATGTGACTCTACCTGCACTCATGGAAGTCAGAAACTAGCCAGACCCAGGTCTCCCGTGAGCCAGCAAGTGTCCCAAGAGCCAATGCCACAACCTCATGGGTAGGGTGACCACATATCACCCAGGGCCAGGCTCAGGGCCCAAGTCGCCTGTCCTCCTTGCCCACCTTTCATGGCAGCCACAAGACTGAGCTGGCAGTGCCACCTGTAGACAGCCTACCTCCATTAAACTATCTCAGAACCAGTCCTAGGATGTGGGCTCTGGGTACTGGGCAGGCCCCAAAGCCACCTCCCACCCCCAAATAGCAAGCCAACTCCTGGTTCCACCCACCAGCCCCAGGGCAGTTGGGCAGGTGGAAATTGCCAGATGATGCTTTGCTCTCCTTCCGGAATACTGTTGCTGGCCACACACACACACAGCTCCTGATGCACGTGAGGTAGCTGGGTGAGCACCAGGGAGAGAAGAACGTGGCTGTGTGGCACAGACCCCAGCATTCCCTACAGCTCAGACAGATGCAAACAAAGCCAAACGCTGTCAGGACCCCAGAGGCAGCCTCAAAGGGGCGTGCCCATTAAACTGCCAGAGTGCCCTGTCAAGAGCAACGGCATTATTTCCGAGCCCACGGGGATGTTTAGAATTAGAGGAGCCTGGCAGTACTCAAGGGTCCCCAGGGAACTGGGTGAATACATCATTCCCATCACAAAGCTCTCAACAAGTGTGCCCCGGGCTGGGTCTTTGTTCAACATTGCATAAGACAACTGAGTCAGACAGGCTGGACTACCTGTAGCCCCCTCATCTCAGCCAGAAAGTGCTGGCAGCACACAATGGCCAGCTCATGACTGTGCTGGAGGGACAAACCACCCAGGGCCCTGGCCTCTGCCAGCCACAGTCAGTCACGGTACTTGGTTTGAACAGTAGATGGCCAGAAGGACAGGAGCCACTCCAGATAGTCCACTTCTTGCCATGGCCTTAAGAAGTCCCATTCAAAGTGTCCTCTTGCTCTAGAAAGCCTTCCTGGCCCTGCTGGCCTGAAGTGACCTCCCCATATTACCCATCCCTAGCTTTTACCATTTGCTGCCCTGTTTGGGGTTGAGGTTTTATTTTTATTTTTTAAATTTTTTTGAGATGGAGTCTCGCTCTTGTCACCCAGGCTGGAGTGCAATGGCGTGATCTCGGCTCACTGCAATCTCTGTCTCCCGGGTTCAAGCAATTCTCCTGCCTCAGCCTCCTGAGTAGCTGGGATTACAGGCGCCTGCCACCACACCCGGCTAATTTTTGTACTTTCAGTAGAGACGGGGTTTCGCCATGTTGGCCAGGCTGGTCTCGAACTCCTGACCTCAGGTGATCCTCCCACCTTGGCCTCCCAAAGTGCTGGGATTACAGGCGTGAGCTACCGCACCTGGTAGAGATTTTAAAATATCATTTATGCAGCATTTAGAACTTGCCAGGTACTACATTAAATGCTTTACATACACTATTTGGCTTAATCCTCCTAATAGCCCCATGAAGTCGGTGTGATTATGCCCATTATAGATTGAGGAAGCGGCAGTTTGGAACGGTCCCGTCGTCTGTGTGTCCTGTGCTTCCATACTTTTTCTTCCCATGAGACTGCATTATCTCACACTAGAGTGCAAACTGCTTCATGGCAGTGAGATATTTACGCGTTCTTCTTGTCCCTGAATAGGTACACAGTTAACTAAGAGAGGACTGATTGCTAGTGATTGTTGTGTGGCAACTGATTAGCCTTAATTAACCCAGAGGTGGCATTTATGAATAAAAACGTCATCAGCCATGTGGCCAACTGACCATATGATATGAATCCCTATATGCTGTGCAGGATTTTAATTACCAAGGCAGGCCCCCGCTGAAGTTGCATATTACTTATCAAGAAACTTTGCTGAAGCCAGGCACGGTGGCTCACGCCTGTAATCCCAACACTTTGGGAGGCTGAGGTGGGTGGATCACCTGGCGTCAGGAGTTCGAGACCAGCCTGACCAACATGGAGAAACCCCCTGTCTATTAAAAATACAAAATTAGCCGGGCATGGTGGCACATGCCTGTAATCCCAGCTACTCGGGAGGTTGAGGCAGGAGAATCACTTATACCCGGGAGGTGGAGGTTGCGGTGGGCCAAGATCGCACCATTGCACTCCAGCCTGGGCAACAAGAGCAAACCTCCATCTCAAAAAGAAAGAAAGAAAGAAACTTTGCTGAAATGTTTTTCCTTCATCCCCTTCAGTGACAGCTGATGGCCACTGGCTCGGAGGAACAAACCCCTGCTGGGCTTAGCATGACCCAGCACGTGCTGCAGGATGGCCCCAGCAGCCTTGCTGGGAGCTGCCAGGTTCATCACCAGCCAAGGGCCAGGGGTCAAACAGGTGGCTCCCAAGAGGCGCTGCTGGCTCCAGGGCATGGGATACTGTGTTAGAAGGCACGGGCCTCACCTTTGGTAGCATAGGCTTCTGCGATCACCCGCAGCCTGTAGGGCGGGGCAGCTGTCAGCGGCAGGTCGTCCAGGCCCACCCGGGCATAAATGTTCAGAGCTTCTTTATAATCACCTTCCACATAATTCAACTTGGCCATGATCAGATTGGATTCTTGTAGGAATTCTGACTAGAAGGGAAAGGAGAGAAAGAAAAGCATTTTCCTACAATATCAGGCATGATGCTCCCTCGGAGCCCAGCCAGCTGCCGCCGTAAAACCCCACAGCTCCCCGCACAAGAGTTTGGACGTGAATGTTCTGAGCAATGTTATCCACAATAGCCAAACAGTGGAAACAACCCAAATGTCCACCAAAACGTGGGCTAGCCATAAAATGGAATATTACTCAGTTGTAGTAAAGAATGAAGTACTGTTATGTGCTACAACATAGACGAACCCCAAAAACATGATGCCAAGTGAAAAATCCAGTCACAAAAAATATGTATGGAAGCATACATATGCTTCCATGTGTATGAGATGTCCAGGATAGTCAAATCTACAGTCAGAAAATAGATTCGTCTTGGCTAGGAATGGGAGGTGGCTGCTAATGACGATGGGTTTCTTTGGAAGGTGATGAAAATGTTCTAGAATTGATTGTGGTGATGGTTGCACAACTTCATGAATATACTAAAAATCGCTGAAGTGGACACTCTGAATGGGTGAGTTGTATGGTATGTGAATTACACTTCAAGAAAGCTGTTGCAAAAACCAAACCAAAACCAAACCCTGCGGCTCCCCTCACCAGGCCCATGGCTGGGTGGGCCGGCTGGGCCAAGGAAGGAAGGAATGCTTCATAAGTTAAACATACAAGCACCTGTCTCAGAAAAGAAGCGGCCCAGACATCCTGGTGGGCCAGCCATGGCAGTGGAGATGCACCACAACCCTGTAACCCAAATCATCAAGGAGGGCCTTCCCAAATGGATGTGAAGATTAGGACTTGCTTGCTTTCCAGGGCGAAGTTTCTCACTGAGCCACTGAAGTTTCTAAACTGAGGTGACCTGGTACCCTCCCCAGAGGCTGAAGGCTGGAAGTTCTCTGTGGGCCCCCCTTCCTCCCAGTCAGCGAGGCTGACCTGGCCAGTCCCCCACTCCCCAAAGCCTCATCATTACCCTTCTTCCCGACCCGTCCCCTAGCACCTAGGGAGAGAACAGGCCACCCTGCCACCTATATAAGGAAACAGATTTATCTTCCTTGGCCAGACCTTCTCCTCAGAGCCCAAGCGGTTCAAAGCTGAGGTTTTTGCTTACGGAAGCACACCATGAAACCACACTATTTATACTGTAACCTAGAGCTTTGATGGGTGGACAACAAGGCCAGGTAGCCAGGTACAGCGTGTTACAGCAGCTATCTCAGCCAACGTGGTCAGCTTCCAGGCATTTCTTGGAAGAGAGAGGGACATCAGGCAGCATTGGAAAGGATGGTGGAGTGGGCAAGGAGGACTGATAGGAGCAAAGGTGTTTATGGGGGGCCCAAGGGAGAGGCACCAGAGGAATTAGAATTACATCTGGAGACGGAGAAATCAAAACAGACTCAGAAAAGAGAAAAAAAGCATCCAGGCCACGTGCGGTGGCTCACACCTATAATCCCAGCACTTTGGGAGGCTGAGGCAGGCAGATCATTTGATGCCAGAAGTCCGTGACCAGCCTGGCCAACATGGTGAAACCCCATCTCTACTAAAAAAACAAACATTAGTGGGGCGTGGTGGTGCACACCTGTAATCCCAGCTACTCAGGAGGCTGAGGCACAAGAATCGCTTGAACCCGGGAGGCAGAGGATGCAGTGAGCCGAGATCATGCCACTGCACTCCAGCCTGGATGACAGAGCGAGACTCTGTCTCAAAAAAAAAAAAGCATCCACCACAGGGGTTCTCCACCCGGGTGGGGGACGGGCCAGGCTTGGGTATTTTGAACACATTTCCTAGGACATTCTGGGAAGTCTTTCCTCCTTCCCCAAGCTTCCAGCCTCTGAGAACCGCTGGATTAAAGGCGAATTGAAGGAGGAGGGGGAAATGAGGAGTTAGCATTAATGGATACATCACAAGAGGTTCAGTTTGGGAAGATGAGCCTGGAGATGGAGGGTGGTGACAATGATAACATACTTAATGCTACTATACTGTACACTTACAAAGAGCTATAACGTTAGGTTGTATGTTATGTATATTTTACCAAAGGGGGAAAAAAAATGAAAGCAAACTGGAGGGCCAGGCGGAGAAAAAGCTTGAAGAAAATTGCAAGCCTAGAGGCACAGTTTGCACACTGGGAGAGCCTCCTTGGGGGAGTCCAATCTGCACCCAAGCACAGGAAACGGCTTGGCCAGGGTGCCTCGGCTGCTGGGGCAGTGGGAGAACAACCCTAACACGGTGTCAGGGGCCACCTTGCTCACAATAAGGACCATTTTCTTGCCTTGAATCAGAAGCCAGATGTCCTGACTCCTTGTCCAGGACTCTTTCCATCCCACCTGGCTGGCTCTGGTCTTCCCAGCCTCAATTCACTTAAGACAAGCTGGACTTAAGCTCAAGGAAAGAGAAAGTTTCACATTAGTCAGTGTGAGTAGGACAGCATACCCATGCAAAAGATGTGTGGCTTTGGAACATTCTTTACAAGATGGAGGAAGGTGAAAAACAGCAATGGGAGAAAAAAACTCTCTAGGTAGCAACTAATAACATAGCAAGAAATGATGTGTATCTAGTGCTATACAGCTTTGAAAGAATTTCTCCATTTGAGCCTCAAAACAATCCTGGGCTAAGTAGGCCTGCAGCTGAGAAACATGAAGCTCAGAGAGGTTAAGTAACATCCCAAAATCACACAGCCTATAAATCCAGAACTGGACTCAGACTCAAGAATTTTAACTTGAATTAAATTCAACAGCTTCGTGCAGTGGCCCAGGCCTGTAATCCCAGCACTTTCGAAGGGATTACAGGCCGACGTAGGCAGATCACCTAAGGTCAGGAGTTCGAGACCAGCCTGGCCAACATGGTGAAACCCCGTCTCTACTAAAAACACAAAAATTAGCCAGGTGTGGCGGCACACACCTGTAGTCATAGCTACTCAGGAGGCTGAGGCAGAAGAATTGCTTGAACCTGGGAGGTGGAGGTTGCAGTAAGCTGAGATGGCATCTGGGCGACAGAACAACATTCTGTCTCAAAAAATAAATAAATAAATACATACTAAAATAAATTCAATGTGCTTACTACCACACGGCGTTGTAGAGGATGGAAAGCAAAACCTATCAACACCTGGTGAAATGAAAGGTGAATTTTTCAACATGAAGTTGGGGGGCGGGTAGACGGGGGAAAGAAATGAGCCAGATATCTCCCCTCACACCTCCCAGCAGGACACTTGAGTCTGGCTGGCCATCACTGTGAGCTGCGGCCCATGTGCCTGCTGTCCCTTCACCCTCTCCTGCTGATCAAGACCTACTACCTGTGTCCCCAGATCAAGACCTACCCCTGTGTCCACCTATGTCATCATGTCATTGGTTAAGAACATATGAGATGAGGCCGGGCGTGGTGGCTCATACCTGTAATCCCAGCACTTTGGGAGGCCAGGGTGGGCAGATCACAAGGTGAGGAGATGGAGACCATTCTGGCTAACATGGTGAAACCCCGTCTCTACTAAAAATACAAAAAATTAGCCGGGTGTGGTGGTGGGTGCCTGTAGTCCCAGCTACTCGGGAGGCTGAGGCAGGAGAATGGCGTGAACCCGGGAGGCGGAGCTCGCAGTGAGCCGAGATCCGGCCACTGCACTCCAGCCTGGGCGACAGAGCGAGACTCCGTCTCAAAAAAAAACAACATCTGAGATGGAGACAGGGTTTCGCCATGTTGGCCAGGCTGGTATTGAACTCCTAGCCTCAAGTGATCTGCCACACACCAAAGTGTGGCATGGTCCTTACAGAGAAACTGAATGGGGAAAGAGAAGACCTGGTTTTTGAAGCCCAAATGCAGCAGGGAGTCCTTAAGTACCTGGGATCCCTACGCTGAGGCGACCTCTCCGGCCACCCCCTGGGGGCCTGGGGCGGGGTCCCTATGTTGAGGTGACACTCTCCAGCCACCTCCTAGCAGCCTGGAGCTGTGTCCCGTGCAGACAACATACACAGAGACCATTTTGAAAGCAGCTCTCTATCAGGGTTTCCAAAAGCCTGTTGCTGCACAACTGACCAACACCAATATTAACTTACTCAAAGGTTGCCCAGGCCCTCCACTGCAACAGGGCCAAGGAGGTGGCCGATGACCAAGAGGAGGAACAGCTCAAATTGAAAGCTCACAGGCTTAGAACATGCAGGAGCTGGGAAGGTCCAAGCTCACCCCTTTAAGAGCCCACCCCATTCAAACCTAAAGGAACTGAGCTGCAGAGAGGCAAGTAACCTCCCTGGAGTCACACAGCAAGTCGGGAGCAGGCTTGAGTTTGCAGTACAGATATGAAAGGTAAAGGCAAAGAAAGCATGGCTTCCCATGGGAAAGCATGCACACGCAAACAAGAACAAAGACCAAACACGGAGCCTCACAGGATTCCAAGACAGGAAGAGAAGAAAAATGAGAAAGAAGTCATCAAAGTTAAGAGGAAACAGAAGTCAGAGCTCCAGAAGTTCACCAAAGACTGTCCTCAGTGGGAAATACATCCTGGGGAAGAGGGGCAGGATGGAGCAGGCCACAGACAGCCATCTGAACTAGGGGAAGTGTCTAGAGCCAGGGGAGTGTGAGCCACCCAGGGGGCAGAAGGGCAGGGCAGGAAGAGGAGATGACCCCCATGAAAAGCAAAAGGAACTGAATGAGGAGTCCCAGAAGAAAGGAAGGAAAGCCACGTGAGAGGGAAAGGAAACCTGGGTGCAATGAGACCAGAAAACAGAATGGACACATAGGGGGCAGCGCCTAAGATTCCCTGTGCCAGAGGGTGAGGGTCTTTGCTGAGATGCGGGGAAGTTCCTGGCCGCCTCCCACCCGTGACGCCAGGCCTGCTGGCACCAGTATGGAACCTCCCACAGCTCTGGGCCACAGTGGCTTGTTACACTGATGAGCAGGAAGCTGTGCGCTGAGCACCCCTTCTGATTAACTTCTCTCTGTTCTAGAACTGGGTAACATGTCAGGTTAAGCTCTGGGTTATATTGGATAGCTTTAGTTCAAGCATCTGAGAGATAAGTGGCATTGTGCACATGGCGTGTCATTGAAGACTCTTATTAGAGAGACCCTGTTGGCCCAGAAGCCCCCGCAGTGGTCAACCATCCTAGAGACTGGCACATCCACCCAACTGGGAGCTGGCCCGCTTCTAAGAAGATAAGCCACGGCGGTGTGCAGGTGAAGAAGTGTCGCCTCAGCCCAGAGGCCCATGGTACCTTAAGGTTCCCTCGGTCCAGGGCGGCGGTCAGATGCTTGCGGACCTCAGTCAGCTGGGGCTTGGGGCCTCGGGGACTGGCCCCCTGCCTCAGAGGGTGTTCCTTCAGGTACTGCTCCAGCTTCGACTCCCCAAGGAGAAGTTCTGCCATGTCATCTACAAAAACAAAGTGAGAAGCCAAACAAAGTGAGAACAAAGTGGGAGCAAGGAATGCATGTAGGAACCCCCTCCAACTCAAAGGACTCCAGAACCACCACACCCCGAGGCTCCAGGCCCCCAGCAAGGCCCTTCTGGAACATCAGAGCCTTCACAGGGTCTAAGTGGACACCACCTCATAGTGAATTCAGTTCATTTAAAGAATGTTCCAGTAGCATGTACTCAAATAGGTGCTGACTCAAGCACTCAGTCGTTTCTTTGCCAGTAGATACTTTTTTTTTTTTTTTTGGAGACGGAGTTTTGCTCTTGTTGCTCAGGCTGGAGTGCAGTGGCGCAATCTCAGCTCACCGCAACCTCCATCTCCCAGGTTCAGGTGATTCTCCTGCCTCAGCCTCCCAAGTAGCTGGGGTTACAGGCACATGCCATCACGCCCAGCTAACTTTTTGTATTTTTAGTAGAAACAGGGTTTCACCATGTTAGCCAGGCTGGTCTCAAACTCCTAACCTCAGGTGATCCGCCCACCTCAACCTCCGAAAGTGCTGGGATTACCGGGATGACCACCGTGCCTGGCTGCCAGTAGATACATATTTACATGGAGAGAGCTCAAGTTCAGTAGGAAAAAAACAAAGGTGGCTTATGAGGTATTCACTATGATCTTTATAAAACACACACAAACCCCAGTGTTATGTATTTTCAGGAGAGGCGCGATGAAATCCCCAGCTCTTTGCTGCGTTCTATGGAGCTGGTGGAATGTCTGTACAGCCGGATCTTAAAATGAGTCTGTGTCAAAATGACCTGAACGCAAGTCTGTATTCTTGCAGAGTAACAGAGTGTTCATCTGCTTCTGTCTAAAAGTCATAACTATACAGATACCTGGGAATGCTTGCATGAAGCTTTGACTCCTGACAGCATACTACTTATGGTTATAACTTGCTGATGTCTGTATTGGCTTAATTTGAATGAAAAGTTCACTCCAGGAGCAGCTCTTTGGAATCCACACCAACCCCCAGACTGTTCTGAATAAACCCAGAACAACTCATATACCAGCCTAAGCATGGTCTATTTTTCTGGGATGGGACAGAACATACTTGTATTAAAATATAAAATCAGTTTTAAAAGGTCTGGAAGGACATATCTTAAGCCCATGATAGTAGTTACAGCTGGGGTGCTGGGGAGGGGACCTCAACTGGGGTTGGTGGCAAGAATGGACTTTCGCTTTGTCTTTAACATCCTGGTCCTAAAAAGAATAGATTTACCTATTACATATGCAATTTAAAATTAATTCAAAAAGCCATCACTGAAGACCCCCTAAGATTCCGGGTGGTAAGTCCACCAAAGGCCAAGAGCTAAAACAAAGGCCTTTTCCACATGTTCTGAGCAATTGGCCCAAAACTGCTGAATCTATAGGTCTTAGCAGTGCTCTGTCTATGTACTGGGAAGCCTAAAATAACCTTTTAGAGATGAGACCTAGAGTCCTGGCAGAGTCAAGAAACACGAAAACAGGGCTGAGTTCAGTTACTGAACTCAAGAACTCATTAGACGCCCAAGAAGAAAAAGCAAATCTGGCCAGGTGTGGTGGCTTATGCCTGTAATCCCAACACTTTGGGAGGCTGAGGCGGGGGGATCACCTGAGGTCAGGAGTTTGAGACCAGCCTGGCCAATGTGGTGAAACCCTGTATCTACTAAAAATACAAAAAAATTAGCCAGGCATGGCGGTGTGCACCTATAATCCCAGCTACTAGGGAGGCTGAGGCAAGAGAATCACTTGAACCCGGGAGTGAAATTTGCAGTGAGCCGAGATGGCACCACTGCACTCTAGCCTGGGCGACAGAGCGGGACTCTGACTCAAAAAAAAGAGGAAATCAGGCAAGGCCACAGCAGCGTCCAACGCCAGAAGACAATGAAGTGGTGCATACAGAGTGCACTGGGGTACAAAGTGCGACCCCAGTGCGTGGGGCCGGTCCAGACACCAGCCAGACACAAAGGCAACAAGCAGCCTCCTCCCAGACACACAAGCCCTTCTCTAGAAATGAAACCCAGCTCATAAAGAAACCCAGGACTCAGGAACGAAGGACATGGAGGCAAAGGCCTGAGTGTTTCTTACAGAATACTAAATGCCCACAAGAATTAGAGGCACAGAACAGAATATGAATGTTAGAAAGCAATGCATTGCAAAAACAATCATATATCAGAAATTGGGAGGAGCTTCAGAGTACCATGCCTTTATCTTTCAAAACACTGTACCATGTGCTTTAAAAAAAAAAAAAACAATCTAATCTTTTACTATTTTTCAAATATTTGTTTAAATTTTAGTGAACTCTCAGGAAATAATGAAGAACCATTTATTTAGAGCTCAAAATTCCTTTAGGCAGGGTGTGGTGGCTCACACCTATAATCCCAGCACTTTGGGAGGCCAAGGCGGGCAGATCACGAGGTCAAGAGATTGAGACCATCCTGGCAACCATGGTGAAACCCCGTCTCTACTAAAAATACAAAAATTAGCCAGGCCTGGTGGTGGGCGCCTGTAATCCCAGCTACTCGGGAAGCTGAGGCAGGAGAATGGCATGAACCTGGGAGGCGGAGGTAGCAGTGAGCCGAGATCGTGCCACTGCACTGCAGCCTAGCAACAGAGCGAGACTCCGTCTCCAAAAAAAAAAAAAAAAAAAAAATCCTCTAAATTCATTTTCATTTCTTTTTTCCCTTTAATATTTATTAATAAAATTATTAATACTATAATAATAGACCAGTGCTGTTCAATAGAAATATATGCAAGCCACATAGATAATTTAAAATTTTTGTTGTTTTGTTTTGTTTTGAGACAGTTTCGTTCTTGTTGCCCAGGCTGGAGTGCAATGGCGCGATCTCGGCTCACTGCAAACTTCGCCTGAGTTCAAGCAGTTCTCCTGCCTCAGTCTCAGAGTAGCTGGGATTACAGGCACCCACCATCATGCCCAGCTAATTTTGCATTTTTAGCAGAGATGGAGTTTTGCCATGTTGGCCAGGCTGGTCTTGAACTCCTGGACCTCAGGTGATCCGCCCATCTCGGCTTCCCAAAGTGCTGGGATTACAGGCATGAGCCACTAAGCCTGGCCTTAATTTATAAATTGTAAATTTATAAATTATAAATTGTAATAGCCATATTAAAAAAGGAAAAGAAGACAGGGCTCAGTGGCTCTCAACACTTTAGGAGGCCTAGATAGGCAGATCGTTTGACACCAGCCTGGGCAACATCACAAGAAAAAAAAAAAAGGTGGAATTAATTTAAATCACAGATTTTATTTAACTAAATATAACCAAAATACTATCAGGTCGGCCAGGCACAGTGGCTCATGCCTGTAATCCCAGCACTTTGGGAGGCCAAGGCAGGTGGATCATGAGGTCAGGAGATCGAGACCATCCTGGCCTACATGGTGAAACCCCGTCCCTACTAAAAGTACAAAAAATTAGCCAGGCGTGGTGGTAGGCACCTGTAGTCCCAGCTACTCGGGAGCCTGAGGCAGGAGAACGGCATGAACCCGGGAGGCGGAGCTTGCAGTGAGCCAAGATCACGCCACTGCACCCCAGCCTAGGCGACAGAGCGAGACTCCTTCTCAAAAAAAAAAAAAAAAAAAATACTATCAGGTCAACATGCAATCAATATTTTTAAAATACTAATGAGATCTTACATTCCTTTTTCATATTAAGTTTTCCAAATCTTGTGTGTATTTTACACTCACAGCACATATCAGCTCTAACCTGTACATTTCAAGTGGTCAATAGCTACATGTAGCTAGTAGCTATCATACTGGACAGCAATATGATCACTGTTTATAGAAATACGTCTAAATATCTACCTTCATATCTGTCTATGTCCCTACAAAGATGTCTAAAATGATTATCACTTAATGTAAACAATAGGAATTTCTGAATGATAGGATTTGGGATAATTTTTAAATTCTCATCTTTGTGGTTTAAATTATTTACATTAAGCAAAATCCTTTTATATCACTTTTAGAAAAAAAAAAAAACAAGTAACTCTTCTTTAAAAACTGGAAGTATATATACCAGGATATTAATAGTGGTTATTTCTGAGTGGTAAGATTGTCCATCTATGTGGAACTTCTTTTTTGTATATTTTAAAATTCCAAAAAATAAAATTATATAGAACTTGGGATTCAGAGTCCTAGATTTAAACCTGAGTTTGTCACTCGGTGACTTTGGCCCAGTGATTTAACCTCATGAATTCTGGGAAGCAATTCCAAGAAAGTGCCTCTTTTGGCCTGAATGGAGGACCCTCTCTCCCCGCCCCTCCTCACAACCCCACCTCTCCTCACCTCCCTGCCACAGGGACCCTGCATCTGAAAATGGCTCCTCTGGGCAGAATCTCCAAGCCAGGGAGCAGAAACAATGGGAGATCAGGACCCCTGCTACCTATTCTAGCTGTGGGGGCACGTGACTAACCCTCTCAGAGCCCCAATTCCATTGACAGACTGTGGGCTACAGCTACCGAGTTCTCAGCGGGAAAACTCTATGGCCCAGAGTGAACACACCTCCCAGCTGGGCCTTAAAGGATGAGTAGGACCTGGGCCGGCAAAGAGCAGAGGGAAGGGCAGACCAGGCTGAAGGAACAGCACAGCCAAAGCCACAGCACACAGTCCAGGAAAGCAGAGACAGCCAAATGGCAGGGGAATTGGATGTGGGTAGAAAGCTGGAGACTCAAGCTGGGATCAGAACGCCCAGACGCCAATGCTTCCCCTCCCAGCCTGCCGACTCAGCACCCCCGCCACAGCAAGACATCCAAAGCCCTCAGCAATGAAAGACAGGTCCTGGCCCAGGGTCACATGTGCCACCCCTTTGGAATGCTCGGACACCACTCACCACTACTTAGTAAACACCTACTAATATTCCAAGCACTGCCAACCTCTCCTCCAGGTGCCCCATCCCAAACCACCTCTAGCAGCCCCAGAAACCCTGAGCACCATGGGTGTTTATCAATCTGTCTGCCCCTTCTAGACTGTAAG